GGCGGGGCTGGCGGAGGAGGTGGCGGGGCTGGCCGGACCATGCCGTACGCCTGACGAGGAGGTGGGCTGAGGGCATACGCCTGCTGCAGCGACGCCATCAGCCAGGCATCCGGCGCACCCACACTGAAACAAAGACAAACACGCCCCCACATGCAGTCAGTGACAAGTTCCTGGTGCTCTCTTCCTCCACCTACTGTGGAGACATGTCGCTCATCATCCATGGGGCAGGTGGGGGAATGGGAATGTTCTCTCTGGTCTCTCTGGACCGGTGCGGCCTCGTGAAAGACCCAATATACTGCCTCGGTCGCGCCTCGATGCAGCACTCCTGGGTGTGGCCCTCTGCGGCACAGTTGCAGCACCAGGCCTTGGTGAAGCTGTCGCCCTGCGGTGCCTCGCTACACGTCAGGTGACCCGGATTGCCGCACTCGATGCAGGTCACCATGGTGTCCCGGTATGGCCACACGTTGGGCGGCAGGACCGCTGAACGCAGCACCTGACGCATGCATGGGGAAACAACACAACACATAGACATGTGTAAATATGTTCAACGGCGAGAGCACGCAAAACCTGTGCGCAGAGGAGATGCAGACAGACATGACATGCATACATACCGTTTCTTTTCTGGAGTTGGCCTTGTCGATGTCGAATCCGCTGACGGTGCACTCCGAGATCATGTGACCAGGGCCGTTGCAGCGAAAACACAGACGAACTGATATCACACACACACACACACACAGAGAGAGAGAGAGAGAGAGAGGCCAGCCGCATGCGCTTCATCCGACAGACAAGTCCCTCTCCTCCGATGTTTCCTGTCTACCTGGGCAGTATTGTCCCTCCACGGGTCTGTTGGCCCTCTCCTCAGCCCCCTGCAGCCCCCCCCCATGGGCCCCCGCCTCGCCACATCTATGACAGCACACGAACCTCGCCCGCTCCACTCGCCAGAAGAAGGCCCGCATGTGCTTCGCCTGCCGCCTCTCGTCCTCCTCTATTTCATCTGCCGGTGACGCAGCAGCGGCTGCCATGGGCCCTCGAACGGGGGGAGTCTCGAATTCCTCTCTCGAACGCTTGTTGCTGATGGGCCTGGCCCGCGGAGAGGCCTCGCTTGGGCCCTCCTCCTCGTCCATGGGCGCGGCCTGGTCCGGCCGGTCGTCGTCATAGTAGTATCTCGACGCCTCCTGCCGCACCGCATTCATTGCCAGCGCCGGCACACGCAGCGACCTGGGCCACGTGCGCCTGTTCTCCTGGTACAGCTGCGCCAGCTGCATGTCGAGCTCATCGCTGATGCGGTCCATCTCCCTTGCTTGCGCCAGCCTGTCTTCATCTGCAGCTTCGGCTTCCTCCTGATCTTCATCTTGCCCGTTGTCTTGTAGGCTGCTAGAGTCGATGCCGGTGGTGTCAAAGGTGACTGGAATGAAGCCGTCCATGAGGTCATCATCGGACGCATCCTTCTTCTTCCTCTGTTCTGCCATGCACTCGTGTGCAAACTGTTCTGCCCGGCTGTTGTTCGTTCCCGATTGAGCTCGCAGTGACCATTCAGCCAGGGTCATCCGCAGACTTGAATGAGGAACTGAGGAAGATGGCCGACAACCCCTCGGCTGTCTTCCTCAGCAAAGAGAGGTTTAGCCGTCACCTACAGAGTGTGGCAGCAGAGGCCCGCTTGACCTCACTCATCAACAACGGACACACGCTGCAGGTAGGGAATCACAGCGCTGTATTGATGCATCCATCTCGACACTTCCAAGCGGCCGCGTGTGTGTGCGCTTGTGCGTCATACCAGGTCTTGACCTCGCGTGCCATATCGCCGATGCTCGAAAACTGGGACCACCTGAGTGATCAAGTGAGCACTTGGCTGTCGGAGAGGGGATGATGCCGACAGCAGATGCAGTGGCAGAGTTGGTAAGCGATGCAGTGTGGTCATTCTCCCTTGTGCTCAGATGTGCGCGCGTGTGTGTGTGTCTTTCTCGTGCAATCAGGTTCCTTGGAGTCAGGACAGGGATGGCTGCGGACAGCATGGAGGGTTCGTGCGGCTCGTGGTGGATGTCTTGGTGGATCGTCTTCATGGGCATCGAACGTGTAAGGATCCATCTCGAGACGTCGTCTGTCATCGTCCGCCGGTGAGCAAGCACACAGAGGAGGGAGGGAGGGAGGGAGGGTGGGAGGGT